TAGTTGATTTAAATATTTTTATTCAATTTCTAAGCCTGTTTCTCATTTATTAAATTAAGGGGCATTTACATAGCACACAATTCTTATTTTAATTTTATTTTCCTTATTTCATTATTTATCTATTTATATCTTTTTATTTTTTATTTTTAGCAATTCTGATGTATTTACATGTCTCACACCTAAACTTTCATATTAACCCACACGTCACTCAAATTTTTACTATGATAGAATAAATAGCATTATTATTACTTTTAGAAGTGAAATAAAACTTTGCACATATAGTTTTAAAACACCAAAATGCTATATATTTAAATATGAAATTTTATATGTGAGATGCGTAAATACATAAGAATTGTGTGCTATGTATGTAAATTTCCCTTAAATTCAATGATTCGTTTCTCTATTCCCTTTTTTTTTAAATTAAATTCTAATTTATAATTTTCTAGCTTCTTAAATTCCATTACTTTATAAATCCTTATCCATTACAGTTCTGCTTCCCAAATTCCCTTCCCAAGTGTTTGTGCAATCATGTTCACCAAAATTACAACATGAAAATTTTATTAATTGCATTTGATGTTGCTATTTGACTGCCCAGAATTATTTCCATCACAAGTTCCAAATTTAATCGCTAATTTCCTTATTTGATTGTCCTTCTATTGAAATGGGAAAAAAAAAATGAAATATGGAGTTTCAAATGATAAGATTATCTTAGAAATAAGTTATTCTTCTCTACCTTTAATTAGACTTTGAATTTTATTGTGTTTGGTGCTTCTTTGCTAGCCTTAATTAGACTCTCATTACCTTTATTTTTCTATTAAAACAACAAATATTGAATCTGAAATTCTTCATGAACATTCGTCTTAGGGTCTGTTTGGCGCAGTTGCAGCTTTTCAGCTATTCAACTGCAACTGCGTTGCCCTATGAAACTGTTGCGGAGAAGCTGACTGTCTGTTTGTTGCAGCTGTGTTCACAGCTGCTCCGCAGCTGTTTCTGGAAATATAATCATTTTGTCCCTCTTTAGTGAAATATAAAAATACATAGGACTTGGGTGATATGTATCTAAATGTACTACCACCCTCATCTATAAAAAAAAAGGAATATGTATTTTTTCATTCATATTTCTAAAGCAGTGAAGTGCTATTATGTAAATATGAAAGTTAGGTGTCGAATATGCAAACACATAAGAATTGTGTGCTACGTATGTATTGAAGTGCCTACATCACTTCTTAGCCCTCCCAAAACAAACATCATCTCACACCAGCATTAGAAACAACTATAGAATCAACAGTAGAACAAATTGTAGAAACTACAGTATTCCAAACAGAAAATACTGCAATATTGAAGACAGAAGAGCCAAAAGGGTCCACAAGAGAAACAACGGGCGTACCAGTAAAACCTTCTTCCCTTTCCTCCTCAAGTTTCAGCTTTTGTAAATCTTGCAGGCATGAAACAGAGGAAAAATGGGATACGAGATTCTGGAGCCTATAGGAAAAATGGGAAAATTACTGGAAATCCTTACTGCTATAATAGTTACTCAAAACAATCAACCTAAGCAAATATCAAAAATGGTTGAAATACAAAGATTCGCCTTTGTTCCATCTAACAGAACACCCTAAAAAAATAACAGTTCTTACCAGTGCGAAGAGAAGGAAGAAGCCCTGCGAAGCATAGGAAACTTGTGAGAAGACGAGGAAGCGGATGGGTAGCATGAGATAAGTCGGAGAGGAGGAGAAGAGGAAATTTTCGATCGCAGATTTTCGCCTCTTTCACGAGCGAAATGTTTCAGGGTATTGCGGTAAATAGTCGAACGAGGAAGCTAGGCCGCGGGTTACCATTCGTGTTCCGCTTTCGGGACAAATCGCGTCCCACCGTAGAGCCACCGCTGCGCCAAACAACATAATTTATCGGCGCAACACCGTGCCGCACCTAAACTGTTGCGCCAAACGCAGCCTTAGTATTTAGCTTTTCATCTATGCTCTTAATTAGAATTTAATAGCATTTATTTATCTATTGAAATGGAAAAAAGAAATCTGAACTTTCAATTGTTAGTTCTTCTCAAAAATTGGCTTTTCTTTCCTATCCTTAATTACTTGCAATGCTCCATGGCGCAGAATGTTGGCCTTTAGAAGAGAAACATAAAATAAAGTTAAGCGTTGCTGTGATGAGAATGCGTAGGCGGTTGAGTGGGTCGACATTTATAGACAAAATGCGAAATGAATGTATCTTTGTCTCCTAAACAAGATTAGAGGGAGTCATCTTAGATGGTTTGGTCGCATTAAACGCCGACCATCTGTTGATCTTGTAAGGGTAGTAGGTGTTTTAGATTCGACATATGTTAAGAAAGGCATAGGTAGACCTAAAAAGACTTGAAGATATTGTAGAAAAAATGATTTTCATCTATTAGAATTAAATGAAAATATGACACTCAATAGGACACAATGGCGAAAATGGATTCCTGTAGCTGACACCACTTAGGGGGATAAAGGCTTGTGGTTGTTGCTGTTTCCTATCCTTAATCGTAAGATGATTGTATTTAGTTCGTATATTGAAATGGCCAAATAGGAATTTAACCGTTTATCCAATAGTTACTATTCTCAAAATGCACCTTCAAATACATTTAGAAAAGTCATTTAAATGAGTAATCATACTTAATTAGTATTCGAATAGCAAAATTAAAAATTTAAATATTATAATTTTTAATAAATGAGGTTTTATTACTAATATGATGGTACATATGTGTAAATAGATTCAAGGAGCTAAAATTGGAATAATTGAGTTATGAAACATGATTTAGTTTTAAACAATACATTATATTCACTCTATATAACTCGTGGAGAGAGATTTAATTATGCTTTCAGTAATGAATTAATTGAATTTAACGCCTTCACCATTGGCGAGTTGATAGTTGTAGGTTGAGGCCTGTGGCAAGGCTGCAAACAACACATGGGTCCTCCTCTTGGTGGCATAGTACCAAAAGAAAGTATGGTCAATGGTGAGATGGCCAGCTTCGTTGGTAATTTTACAAGTTTGGCAAGAGCGAGACTGTAACTGAAGAGATAATCTGACGAGAGTGTTATGTGTGTGGAGCCGAAGCACTTCAACTGAGCATCAGATGCATATGTGTCGGATTCTGGGTGCCTATGTGCCCACTTTGGTGTTTTTCTATAGCAGAGGGGTTGACGCATATGTGCCAACCCATTGGTACATATGCACCCACTTATGACATGGGCGATGCTTTGACACAGAGAGGTTGGCGCTCATGTGTCAGCTTATTTTCGCTTATGCGCCCAATTTAGGCGCACGACAGATGTTTTGGCACTTATGTGCCAAGTCCTGGCGCCTATGTGCGTGACATAGTTGGCACTCGATCTTTTTGTTTTAAGGCCAAATTTGTGCGACACTTTGTTATCTTCATTTGGCGTTCTTTAACGAGCATTCCGGTAAATGTGAGATGTGTCGATGAAGTGAATTTCGGTGATTCAGCGTGTTTTTTGCATCGGATTGGAGAAAGAAGATTGTGGAGCGAGTCGAGTGTAGAGAGGAAATTGGTGTGGGTTCTTTGTAAAAATTTCTAAATTTCATAGTGAAATTTTTGGTGGCGGGCTCCGTGATTTTTTTTTTCCATTATATAGTTTTTCCATGTAAATTCTCGTGCGTTTTTCTGATTACTTTGATTGTGTTTTTTATTTAATTCTTTGTTTCGATTTTCTTGAATTGGTGCAATCCTGTTATGTTGTTTAGATTCTAATTGATCCTACGCCCCATTTAAGTTGGGAATTGTCTTGGGATTTCCTATTAGAAGTTGATGGTCATGACACTGTGAGGGCCAGGCTGTGGTGGCGATGAGCTGAGGGCAAGGAGAGCTAGCCACAAGGCGTGAAGGTTTTTGCGTGGGAGGGACAACACCAGGGTTTTCAGTTTTCAGGAATCGAGGAGGAATAGATGGGGAGTTTAGAATTTTAATATGGGGCAAATAAAATAATTTAGGATGTTTGGGGGTTGGGGGGGTTGCGTAAATTACCAAATTATCTTTTATTAAAGTTTTTTTTTTTTTATTTCTTTAAAGCGAGCAATTGCCTACCCTCAGTTTCTGTGGGTCCACCCCTGAAGAAAAAACGAGCAGCTTCCTTGAAAGTTATTGTTTAACGCAGGCTGAGTTGATGAGTTGTTGGGCAGAGTTTCTGAGCTTGTTTTACTCGTATTTTGGATATTGTTTAAATCCTACTTACTGGAGAATCTACTTAGCTGGCTTTATAATGAATAAGGTGTAAGAACGCAGGTTCGAGTTTTGATGTAGTAAGGAGAGTGAGTTTTGAGGTGGAAGTTTTGAGCTCGGATTTATTTAGATATCTCAAATGTGAGAAAGCACGGGTCCTGTAAACTAAAAGTTCAAACGGCTTTTACAACTTCTAGCATGAAACTAAAATATTTGCTTAGCTTGAAATCTATAGCTTCAAATTGTTCCTCAATTATTTTCACACTTGAGAACTAAAACTTGCTCCAAATTACGTTGTCTGTGATTCTAATTAGCAGTTTGTAACACCTCTTTCATTTGTGTTGCAAATTTACTTTTGGCAAAGACAAGAGTATTCTACACACGTATAGGTTTCATTGTAATAGAGAATGAAATTTATAATTGAAGAATGATCTTTATTTATGTTGCATACATTGGCATGCATAGACAAGAACACATTTCATACATGTTTGTATTATTTCCTTGCTGCTCTTATTTTTTTTCTCAAATTGCATTTGTCTTGCTTCCACTAGACCTCCACAGGTTAAAATTGAAATTATGTTTTATTAGTTTATTATGCTTTTTCTTCTTCGTTTTTGTCCTGCTTTTATTGATATCAATTGCTCCGTGAACTTTCCTTGCCCTCTCCTTCTTTTACATCAGTGGAGGAAATGAATCATGAATACAATTGACGTCCTTTATAACACTTGAGGATTTCCAAGTTTGCTTTACTAATTAATTAATTAATTATTTTTAAATATACCAGAAGCTACTATAAATGCACCAATCCTGGTTGCTCCGTAAGGAAACATGTTGAAAGAGCCTCCCATGATCCCAAAGCAGTGATAACGACCTACGAAGGCAAACACAACCACGACGTCCCTGCCGCTAAAACTGGCAGCAGCACCAACCGCGAATCATCTCCGCCATTGATAACCGATGGCAATATTCCAACCTCTTATATTTCACATCAATATACTCTTCCTGAAGAAAATAACGCCATAAACCTTCGTCTTGGTGTCGGTGTCGGCTCTAACCCTACGAGCTTATTAAGCGAAACACAACATCTATCAGGTCTGGAACGCATCCCAAAGAATCATCACCTCCAATTTCTGAGTTCTGACTGCAACAATGTTATGGTTCAAGTGAATCCTGCATCAAAACTTTATGGAAGCTCAAATAATGGCATGTTTGGATCCAGAGAAGATAAAACAGAAGGGTTTTCTTTTACCACTCAAATGAACAATTCATCAAGCCATTATTACTCCAGAGCAGATAATCTGGTAATGGGGCCATAGAAAGATTGAAGGAGCTCTGCAATGGTGTAAAATGTTGTGGAATATATTAATTTATGCCTCTGCTGCTTGGGACTGGAAACTACGGGTGGAAGGTTATTAGAATTCTGTAAAGTTTCATCCAAAGAGTGATTTGATTTCTCCTGCAGCTTCCATGGAAGATAATTGGTGAACGCAGGCTGAGTTGATGAGTTACTGGGCAGAGTTTATGAGCTTATTTTAATAGTATTTTGGATATTTCTCAAATCCTACTTACTGCTGTGTAATTATGGAAAAAATGTTGGATATTTTAATGTTTTAATGTTTTAATTTTGATTTGGAATCATGGAGACAATATTGTATTGATTTGAAACCTACATACGAGTGGCTATTTTTTGAGTTATCTTAGCTTCTTTGGAGCCCATTTTCCGAGGAAAATATATTGTCCGCACGTCCGGATGCCAACCACCGGGCGTTGCGACGCCTGCCAATGAGGTGTATGATAATGTGACGCCCGATGGTTGGCTGTCTAGACGTGCGGTCTCCAGACTGAATATTCTCTCTTGTTGAGAGATTTATTGCGATATCTTCACTCAGTATGCTTGATGAACCTTAGAGCTTAAATTTATTATGTATTTTTCAAAACATATCTAATAATGATATTGAGATTTATATTGGAAGATTTATTAGCATAGAACTTAATTTCTATGTAGTTACATGTCTAGCACCTATAATTAATTAATTAATTAATTAATTATATATATGCCACCTTATCCATGAAAATGTGTATATCAGTTTTTAAAAATTAAAATTGTTATGTTTTTGGTCTGTTATGAAAGATTTGGGTGGTCTAAATGTAAATAGAAGTAAAGTTCAGTTATTAATATGTAATTATATATGAATTGGCTGATATGTAAGGGTGCGAACGATTTGCGTCTAGTCTAACTTGAGCTTGAGCTTGTGTAATTTAATCGAGTTTGACCTCGAGATGATCTCCATGAGTTCAAGTTTGCTCACATGCCGTATTTTTTTACCTAAAAGAGAGACACATGTTGTCTTGTTTAACCTGCAAAAGAGAAAAAGTATTAATTTAAGTTAATATTATAATTAAAAAATTAATAGAAAGAGTATTTCAAAGATAATTAATAATTAGTCATTTGATATAAAATATAAAATATTAATTTAAATTTTTTTAAATAAATTAAAGAAGTTTTTTTGAATATTATTATATTTTTTTATTAATTATTTTTTAAACGAATAAGTTTACGAGCTAACGAGTCTAGTCGGGGTTAGCTTGAGCTTGGCTTATTAGCTCATTGAGCTTAGTTAACGAGCAACTTATTGAGTTTAGACCGAACCGGCTCACCAATCTGCTTTGCTCACCTACATCGTAATATGTATGTGAATGCCTCCAATTGTATTTTTTTTTATCAAATTTTATCATATTTTGATTCTTTTCTTATAAAATTGTATGCAAATAATTTTCCAAATATAATTAAGTTAAAATTAAATTGTATATTTCTGAGGAAGGATATTAAAAAGAATATTGAAATTCAAATTGATCATGGCAAGAATGAGGAGAATAATCAAATATGTAGCTGAGGTGATCCAAGTCAATGATGAGATAATTTAAAATAAATTATACTGGTTGGATATGAGTATATATAAGATGGCATAAATAAAAATTATTTAAAATAACATGTTCATTACTTCAAGCATTTTAAGCAGCACATGATAAAACGTAGAAAATATAATTTTATAAAATAATTTTAAATAATTAAGATAATATTAATGACAATGATTTTTATAAAATCATCTGTCCTCACTCCTCAAGCTACATAACTAGTATAGGCAATTTATTTCTTAGTACACACCATAAATACCAATACGAATCTCAAAGAGAACGAAAGGCCAAGATGAAAGATCCTCTTCTCGAGGTAAGCAATCAAGGACGATTCAAGGTCGAGCATGAAGTCGCGTCTCCAAATCCGAGATAGGTTCAAGCTCAGGAGATGATTCATCGCTCAGCAGCAGCAAGACCCGTTGAAAGTGATGCGTAAATCATCCGGTAGGGAGTCTCGTCGGATACCCCACATAGATTGCTGCAAGATCCACGTAAGACATTGCATGATTTAGAGATCTGGCGGAGGCAAACCAATTATACAGGCGAGACACGAGCCTTGTAAGATTCGAGCCAAATGAAAAATGAGAAATAACTTAATCAATGAAAAAAGTCGATTGATCACGTTCAACCGATCAACCCTACGTTTAGACCGAACGACCACTTCACAATCGACCACTTTGATTGGCCGTGCCAAAAGATACCGAGAAAAATCGTCGACCGAAACACACATACTTCATGGGACACAAATGCCACCCGGTCGGTTGCCTCTGTCTGCTGACTTCAAGCTAGCCGACTTGTCAATTATCATCAAAGTTGAAATTCAAATTGTAATGCACATGACATAAAATCTTTACCATCAATTATAGTATTAATGACATTAAGAACAGTATCCATAACCGTTCCATCATTTATGTAATTGTGTAAAACACACATCTATAAGCACGGGGCAAAAGAACGAGAAAATTGACATTTACTATAAAAATTCCAAACTTATTCTATTCTTTCTCTCTTCTCTCCTCTAACTCTCTTGGCGTAATTCAGAAAGAACAAATTAGGATCCAACACTTGGCAATTTTATCTAATGTTAACTTCATACTAACAATATTGACAGTAACATCATCGATAGCTCATCAAATATTCATTATACTAGCAATTTGAGCAAATTCTTGAGCAAAAGCAGTCAGCAAGCATCAGAACATCAGAAATTACTAAAGCACCAGACCCTTTTCAACTAGCAAAGAATCTAATCAAACTCACCAAGCTATCAAGTCACCTATTAACTTTGCTAATCACTCCACACAAATTTTATGTATTTATATATCCAACACTTAAAGTTTCATATTTAGATTTATAGCATTTTAGTGTACATCTGACATTTAAGAAGTTAGAAATATAGTCCCTTTTGGGATTTTTTCATTTCATTTCCAACCAATTTGATATGTGTTTGAGCACATAGTACTATCATTTTAGCATGATGTTAATGATTTCAGTGCTATATATACATAAATATAGAAGTTTAGGGGTTATATATGTAAATACATGAGAATTGTGAGGTACATACGTAAAATTCTCTTTTTTATAAGTGATTGCTTGTAGTGTAATTTTCAAAACCTTACTTCATAAAATTTGATTCCAAACCTTGATTAAGTTGCTCTAAATAAACTAAAATCTAAAGTTTGGTTATCCCCACTTTAATATGGTAATTGAAGTTTATGATAAATGGAACTTTCAAGTGGAAAAACTCTATTAAGCACTGAGTCCACAAAGGCTCAAAGTTAAAGTAGATAAGAAGCACCTTTAGCCTTCATTTCTTCTATCCTTTTGGTACCTATTCTTCATTAGTCTCCATTCTCTTAAGGCTTTCAGCAAGTGGGCATCTGCCAAATGCCTTTTCCATAATAACTTTTAATTGGATTAATTAACTGATTTAATTAGGACATCTGGATGAAATTAAGCCTAATGTTCAAGAGAAAATCAATAGAATATTATATATTTTTTTGATAACCCTATAGTAATTCTATGGTAGTTCTCTACTTTTTAATAAAATAAGTTTCTCATTTCTTTTGATTATTTTTTTAAATATTAAGATATTAATCTGATTTTTGAAACCATGCCGTTTGATTTAAATCACTAGTTCTGTTTGATTCAAAAGAAATGGGATAAATGTGAATGAGCTTTGCCATTTATAATGTACTTTCTTTTCTTATCATGTAAATTTATAATTTATGACAAAGAGAAAAAGAAAATCCAAAATTTTATAGCATATTTATGACTTTTTTATGTTTTTAATTTGAGCCTTAAGCCTCATTGTTGAGAAATTAGGGCGAAGAAAAACAGGAATCGACACAAATTCAGAAGAGCATAATGATTTAACGAGGTTCGACAAAGATGCCTACGTCCTCGAGAGCAGGATGGCGAGTTCTTTAATTGTTTAGAAAAGAGAATATAGAAATCAGGGATACCTCTTGGGGTTACTAACATGTCTATTTATAACCCAAGGAGTAAACCCTAAGTACAATACGTAACTACAACATTACCCCTGTATCGTACCGCAGGGCGTTGCCCCCGCACCCCCAACCCATGTAACTTCTTTTTTTTGGGCAGATTCTTCTGCTCCGCTCTGCTTCGATCTAACATCTGTCCTTATGTGATATATGAGTCATATTATAACACTCGTCATACTGAAAAACTTTTAAATTCTCAACTTTATTTTTTACAACTTAAGAAATAATGAATGCCATCAGAATAAACAATGGGATGAACTAAGAGATCACCCTATAAATTAACTACAAAAAGCAGGTAAAATGCAAGACCCACCCTTCAATAATAAAATAAATGGAATTGGCAATCATTTCAAACCAAGCAAATTTAACGTTTCATCCAAAATATTATCATGATAAAACAAGGCAGAAGAGTAAAAATTCATGTAACAATTAAACACAAAAGACTTACGTGGTTCGGCTTTAACTTGATTCACCTACGTCCACGGAGAGGGAGATTCTACTAGTACCAGATGAGAGAAAGAAAAATGGCTTGGGGTTATAACTCAAACACCTCTTATCATAACTCTCACAGTCTTGAACAATCTTTTTTTTAATGACCAGACTTTAAATAGAAAACATATTTATTTTCTCAAGACTGCACCCACGAGACTTGCCTCGCTTTTGAGAAGCGTCGCCGCTGCCACCTTTATTTGACCAATTCTTCTTTTTCTTCTCAGGTTTGCCACATTGGAGTGCAAGTGTTTTGACGGATTCCATCTTTGCGCACTCCATGTCTCTTTGACGAAACTCAAAATAGTGTCTTAGCCATTTTGCCATAATTCAAGACCTCCTTCTCATGAATCAGTGTCATAGTGAAGTTTCGTACTCATCCGGGAGCAAATTTAACAGAAGAAACACCTTGTCTTCGTCTCCAACATCCTCATCTAATTTTAGCAGATCTGTCAATAACTTAATGAAGTCATTCAGGTGCTCATAAATAGTAACCCTCTATCTCATTTGAAATTTGTAGAGTCGACGCTTCATATGGAGACGATTCGTCATATTCTTTGTGAGATATTTGTCCTCCAGCATCCTTCACAATTTTCCTATATAAGTCTTCATCATCACCCTATATTTGATCTTCTTGGCCAAGCAATTTCAAACAAGCAACAAACATTATTATTCAACTTCAATCGATCTCTCTATGCATCCCATCAGAATTTTTCATTATCAAGGTCTTCCTTCAGATTCAGAGAACATAGCGAATCTATCATCTTATATCGTCAC